CCCTACACACTCCATTCCAGTAAGTTACTGTGTTGAAAATCTTGTGCCCCATAATTATTGTATGGATTTGAAACAACTTACTCTGTATTCCATAGTTACTAACCTAGAAAATATGCCTGCATCAGTCATACATAATGCTTCCAGTTTATATTCACTTTAGTAAAAGAGCTATAACTGCTTCTGGTTATGTTGCATGTTGACTTCCTTTGTAATAGGGTGCTTTACTGAAGAGATTTGTGGGAATCAATATATTAAGTAGTCTAAATACATGTATAGCTGATCAGCGTAGATCTGTCTGGTAAACAATTTAGAAGGGTAAAAAGTCTGTTTCCCTCCTATTAATCTATAGGACTACTTTTATGGCTAACTCCCAGTTGATAGTACTGTAAGAAAATGTAGTGGAAGAAGGGTGCCTGGAAGCCTCTTGGTCTCCATGCAGTTTTTGTTTAGGCAAGTAGAACTTACAACTTACATACCTAGCTCAGACGTATAACGTTAGTTGCTTACTACATAGAATAACACTTTGCTTTTATGCTGCTTCTTGAATTCATACAATTACTCCAAAAAAATAAGTAAGATGATCTGTTTCATTTCCTCACATAAATCCCTAAAATTTTCATATTATCAGGTAAAACTTGATTTCATAATTCCTAGTCATACATTGCAATGCATCTATTATGGGTGTTAGAGAGCTGGATTATAAATGCAGCACTTACACCATCACCTTCTGATAGATTGTGTGTGTGGAGTGGGAGATGAAAGTTCAAATTATACAGGCTTGGTTCTCAAGGTCCTGTTCTGAAAGCATGTGAGATGTATCAGCAAAGCACATAAATTTACAGGCCCAACTTTGAAGAAATCTGTATTTTACATATTGCAGTTTAACACATTTTAAAGTAATACTGCGCTCTTTTTGGACATACTTACTAATTTTCATCTCTTCTTCATTTTGATTTTCCTTTGTAGTGATCATTGCATACTCTTCACCTCTAATGCATTCATTTTCTTGTGATATAATTAATGTGATACCTTCTTAAACTGATTCATAAAGTTTTTTCTAACATATCTGTCTCATGAATTTACCCATGTACTAAGAAGTCTAATAGCCTTTGAAGTAAATGGATACTGAGTTTACAAGGTTTCTTATATTTTAAGACTGTTGAATATTTTATTTTGTGTAATAATAAAACAGATGCAAAATGTTTGTATGGTTTAAAAAGGCAGAGAGACAGGAATAGAGAATTGTCCTGGTAAAGATTTATGAAAAGCATTTGATACTGTTAGAATAGTGGACTTAATCCAATGAATTTTGCTGGGAATTGAAGTGTTTTAATATGTGGTATTAAAATATGCATTTTTTTTGTTTGTCTGTGAGTGATATGAGGCAGAAAAACATTTTATATTAAAAAAATATTGTGTGAATAATTTATTGTCCTATATTTGTCATTTTATGTGTTTGGACTGATCCTTCCTTAGGTGTTATGGGATTTAGAGAGTATAATACAGGTAAGTGTTACACAGATCAATGAGGCGTTCCATACAGTAAGTTATGTTTCCTCTTACATGTCAAGCAGCAGGGGAGAAAAAGGGCTTAATAGCTTGCCAATAGTTAATATGAGATTGCAGGTTTAATACTACAGATATAAAAAATTAAGAGTTCTCAAGGAACTGAAAACTAGAAGGAAAATAAAATGTAGTCCTTATGAAATTTTCATTTCAGAAAAGAATAAAATGGAAATGAGATAAAACAATGGAAGATGCATTTGCAGATTACATAGGCAATTTAGGCTTATTCTAGAAAATAAAGAAGTCTTTATTTGCTTAAATTAAAAATGATTAAGGTATGTTATGTCTGTGAACATGTTTCCCTCCTTCACAATATTTTAAAATAAGTAATAATCATGTGGACAGCAGTACAAAATACTCTGTATAATTAAAAATTACCAGAAAGTTATAGTGAATTGTTCAAAAGGAAACAAAGCAGCTGGTGAGATAAATTTGTACTTTATTGTCTCTGATTTAATTTATTTGCACCATACATGATGTTAGTGTGGAGGATCTTGCTCCAGCAAATGTTCAAGCCTGCTCTCATTTGTGTATGTTGAAGTATATTGCTATGTTCTGCCTTTTGTGAATTGACAGTACATATATGCTCAGAACTTTTAATTATTAATATTAATTTTAAAATTCACTCAGTACAATCACACTTCTTAGTGTCATGTTACTGCTATTTTTCTTCATATTCCAAGGGTTAAGAGCAGCTTTTTATCACTTTAAAGTGTCTGAAAATTTTAATTTTTAATACTTCATTTCTGTACTGTATTAGCTATGCACTGTCACCATGTCTGTGTTGGATAGTGGATAATTTACACTGAGTATATATGACTGTTTTCATAATGAGGAACATCTTGAGAAACATAGATTTTACTTTTTCTGCTGTTTGACCTTTAATCTAAACCAATTTAATAAAGTCAAACTTCAAACATGTAGGAAAAGGCAAAAAATATTAGCCTAGAAACCACAGTAATACAAGGGTTTTTACCGTGTACATAGGGCTTATAGTACATATTGTATAATTTTTACTGTCTGCCTAGATATTAGCTATATTTACCATATTATATTGTCTGACCTGAGCTTAAGCCATGTAACAACCTAATCAAAATGCTAAATTCGTATCAGAGAAATGAGTAAAACAATAATATGATTAAGGTTCTCATTTTTTCAGCTGACAAATAAAGAAAATTACTACAAAATCACTTTGGCGAATTTTTGTATGTAGAAAATCTCATCATTTTGTCCTTGTCCATAGAAATTGCTAGAATTGTATATAATTTTGTGAAAAGCAGAGAGGTTTATGTGTTAATTGTAAAGCATTCTGTCTTGTAACTGAATAAGAAACTCATTTTTTTTTAAAGCACTGAATAGGCATAGAATTGCTTCTTAGAGGACTAGCAGAGACAAGCATTCTTCAAAGCTTTCATGCTTGGCCTCTGGAAACAAAAAAAATAAATGCTCATACAGATGCTTTCTACAAAAGCACAGTTTCAAGAAATAGTATATAATTTTCTGCATTCTTGGAAGACAGCACCGGAGTCTTCCTGGTTTGCAGAGATTTCCTTGATTGCAACCAATATCAAAACTTTTTGAGGACTAGAGGTATGCTGAGATAACTGAAATTTTAAGCAAGCTGTTCAAGACTGAAGGTTGTATCATGTCACTCATTTTAAAGCAGAAAATCCCATTTGTTTCAAAAAGGACTTAGGTTTAAAAATCAAGGGTGTAATACAGACTGCAGAATGCCATTTTATACTGATTTTTAATGGAAGAAGGTGAACATGAATCCACAACTATTTACTCAAATTGTTCAGTGAGGTATATTCACATTATTTTTGCAGTTGCTTTCTGAGAATACTCCAGGGATCCAGTCTTCTGAACATGAATGCCTTTGGGAAAGGAATTCCAGAATTGTGTGTATGGCTGTTCATGGAAACTAAGTTCAAGCTTTCTTTTCTGAACAGCCATGCAAGAAGACTTTACGCATTACTTGCTTACAAAAAAATAGAAATGTTGTAATGTGCTATCTCTCAACACTGAAAAAAAAAATACTCCATTCAAATATACATTATTAATAGATCATATCTGACAATTTTGAACATAGTGGTATGTACCATATGCAGTGATGACGTCTAGTGCATCCAAGAGTTTAGCACACCCGCAGGTCAAAAGCAAGGAGCAGATCTGTGCAGTAAATGATCAAACCAAAGTTCCCACCCCACTGTTCACGTTAAAATTTGGTAAGCAAAGTGCTTCTCTTTGCCAGAGAACTTCTTTCAAGTGCTAGATGACTATTCTCTGCTGAAGAAAAGATAAGAAATTAAGGGGTTGGTTTGGGATATTTTAAATCACAATTCTCTTACTGGTAGAGTTCCTTAAGCTATTACCTAGCCATCATTCCGGAGTGATAAGTATAAATATCAAAGATAAATCCTTTGCTATTACATAAAAAGAGTTTTCTATGTTCTTTTAGCATCCTGGGGGAAGTGTTTTTTCTAAAATGTTGAAGGGCAGTAGTTCTCATAAAGTTGTAAATGATGCTAAGCAACCAAAGTGTTTCCCTCGGACAGGCGTTATGTGACTGCAGCATTGCAGGTGTCTTTATTTTCTATTCATTGCACATTGTCACAGCTGCTTTACTCCATGAACTTTTAAATATTTATTTTGGTGTGGTGGTACTTTTTCCTTTGATTTATAAGAGCAGACAATAATGAGCTTCAGCAAAAAAAATATGTCTCATTAATACTTATGTCTATATTCGTGTTTCTTTGTTTGTTGTCTTGAATACAGGTGAATCTGGTGTTGAAGAGTGGGCCCAGTGGAGTACGTGTTCAGTTACTTGTGGTCAAGGGTCGCAGGTGCGAACCAGAACTTGTGTATCACCTTACGGGACACACTGCAGCGGCCCTTTAAGAGAATCAAGGGTTTGCAATAACACTGCCCTCTGTCCAGGTAGTGTTATCAGCCAATAAATAAAATTGTGGATGTTTTTGAACTGTATAATGATAACAATTTGAAACTATATCTTTTTTTTTAATTATCATTTTTAACATGAGGTTCATAAGGGCATTTCAGAGCAGAGAAGTGTAATTCTATTCATCTGTGAGCTTTGTCATGTAAATTGTTATTTTTACTTTCAGAACAGTCAACATATGGAACAAATGTCTCTTTTTCTGACAGTTTCAGTTTTTAAAAGAATGTCCGTATTCTCTGATTTTAACTTGGAAAACAAAAGGCATAGTGTGACTACAAAATACAAACTAGGGGAGAAATCCAGATCATCAATACATTAAGAAGCAGAGACTGATTAACAGGGTGGGCTAAGTTAACATACTTTATTCGACACTGCAATTGTTTCGCTATTTGGAGTACTGTCTTCTAGGCAATGGGCCAGACAGTGTTCTCTGCACAGTAATGCCTTCACGGACTTTGCTTTACATTGTTCTGGCGAGAAAGGGCAACAGCTACCCATCAAAGGAAGACAGATCAGACAAACAGTAACTGTCTCACATCTGACACAAGGTAAAGGTCATCTGTATCTTGCATTACAGTTTTCCTACTCCTTTCGTCTCAGAGATCTGGACATAGTTGGAGTTCAGCAGTAGTTATACACTAAGGAGAAGAGACAGGCACGTTCGAGTTAGTTGCTGAAAGGGCACATCTCGTTTCTTTAGAGTCTGCCTGTGGGTCTGATTAATCTGGCATGGGAAGCAAAAGGGAAGGCATATACCCTGTGACTACGTTCATTTTCCTCTGCTGTGTCTGAAATGCAAAAAAATTATATGCCTCCTTTCAGATGCAGAAATTCCTCAGCTCTTTGTAACATCTGATCCCAAGAGGGTGGTGAGCCACCTTCAAGTTCTGGGGAAGCTCATGCCATTTTTGAAGTAAACTAGGCTGTCATACACAGAGAAGCCCCTGGACTTTACCCCAATGAGTAGTGGTAATATGTAGAATCAGACTCTCACATTGTTACTGTAATATATCCAACGGGAAGTGCATCCCATCAGAGTTTGTGTATCAGCATTATAAGCATTTAGGGAACCTCTGTAATGGAAAACAACTTAAAAGATTGTGTCTAGTTAAGCCACCATTGTAGTAAGAACTGCTGTCAGCACCTAATGCTTTAGTACTGTGCTCTAGATAAGCAATTCACATGGGATTTTCTAATATTTCATGGTACAAACTCCCAGGCAGGGTTGAATTCGATCACCTGAAGTGTTTCCATACAAAAATGGCAGCTATTTCTAAAACTGTTAGGCTAGCTTCTGTTCTGCCAGAGGTGGGATACAATGCAAAAGAGATCTCAACTTGAAAGCATAAAAATAAGAAGTGAAAAAAGAAAATGATAAAAGAAAACAACAAACCTTCCAAACAATCAAAGATAAAGATTACTTTGAAACTGCATGAAGTATGAATATGAAAACACACAGTCCAGCACTCACAATGAGATGCGTTTCTGCCTGCTTTGTTGCTCATTTTGTATTACCTAAGAAGAGGCAAGGCATTTAAATCACCTAATTTTACAGAATTTTATCTTCATTCTCTCCAGTAAGGAATGAGAACTTTTCATATCAAAACAAACAAAAAAAATCCATCTAATACCAAAGTCAAGGTAATTACTTTGCTTTCAGAGTAAACTGGAAATAGGTTAATTCTTAAAAATCACATTGTCTAGCAAACTCCCAAACAATGCTCACATATAAAGACTTCTCCATGTTTCTCAAGTCGCAAAGGAGCTCTTCCCTTACACATGAATTCTCACTACATGGTATGCCTTTTGTTTAGAGACACCCGGTATGAGCAATGGCTACCTATTCTTACTGCTTAGCAGTGATACTCCCAAAATACTTTTGCTTTTCAGGTCACCACAGCTGAATCTGATAATCTTTATGTATCTTGAGTTACCTTTCCTAAATAATTAGTCTTCTGAGCTTAATCTTGCATGTTGTTTCATATAATTACAATAACCCTGTTAATTTATGTTGGTCTCTGTCTGGCTACAGGGTCACTAGTGTGTAGCAGTGAGCAAGATTAGCATGAAGAAATGTGCTTTTCCTAGGCACAGCTCCATTAATTTTTCAAACATCCCTTTTATTATTAGCTTAAATATTCTCTGTCCTCATTATATTATGTATCCTGACATTCTATTATGTATCCTGAGAGTTGTATAGTTTGGGAGTATCCCTGATCCATGCATAACAAAATGCATATTTTGTACAGTAGTATGATTAAAAGACAAGTTTGACAAAGCCATCCAAGCATATACATACATAGCCTGTGTACCCAGACTTGTACCAGTCATTCCATACAGCTTTTGGACTCTGTTAACACAGCAACATTTTGTATCTTGAAGCGTAAACTAGAAGACATAAACATGCAAAAATAACCGTGGGATCTCCTTGTAACCCACAAATACAAAATCTACTGGGCCATATTCATTATATTTTTGCATGATTAGTAAAAGGAGGGGGCGGGGGGGGTTTTGAGAGCTGGAATAATGTTTCCTAATCAAAAAATTGTCCCTTCAAAATAGGAAAGTATGCAGACTGGCCTACTGGACTATGAGCATCTATCCACGAGCTCCAAAAGAACCTGCTAAACTAGAATATACTAATGCAAGGTTTCCAGATTATTTTCATCTGTTGCCTTCATATACTCCCTTTAGTGTCCAGGGATCTTGCTGGGATGTTAGGCAATACATGTCTCTGTGATCTCACTGTTCTGGAAAATTTTGAGAATGGGATTGACCAGCTTCATCATCATGCAACAGAGAAACCACAGAGTTCTTTTGCATAAGTACATGAAAGCTATTTGGTCCATAATTTCCAGTTGTTTTCATTTATTTACTTATTTTTATCCTGCTGTGTATATATTAGTGTGTATATATAAAAGTATTGAAATAACATCTTAAATTTCAAAATAGTACTCCTGATAGTTAAAGTGAAAACATAAAGGTTTATTTATATTTGTTCCAGACCAATACATTTTCAGGGACAGGAGTCCATTAGGTAATTCAGTCAGTGTCTTGAAATCAAGAGCCTTCTGGTAAAGTACAGTATAGTAGGCAACACAGTTCAGGTAACCACTGTTGTTACTGGTGCTTTGGTGAGCAAGGACAGCTCAGGATCTAGTACTGCAGTGCCACTGTTTCATTTCAGTTTAGGGCATAATTTCTAACACAGCTAAAACTTCAAGGAGAAAGAACATGGAATTTCCATGCCTGTAGATCTTCTCAATTGGTTTCTATTTCTCCTTCCCTATTGCCTTCAACCAATTTTACCACAAAACTTAGCTGAAGCTCAGAATTTTCAAGCTTACAGGTAAAGCAAAACATGGCAGGAGCAGGAATACTCTAAGCCATTTCAACCATTTGTGTGCTCAAAAGCTATATTTTGGCTGGTGTGATATGCTAAGACTGCTTTACTTATCTCCCTTTTTTTCTCTGGGCTCATATCGATGAAGTTTAGCCATATTGCTGAAACCTTGCACATTTTTGTATATTCTGTGCTTGCAGGGTACACTAACAAAATCATTACAGAGAAATTAGCACTATCTTTTTTATTTCCTGTAGCTTTATTGTTAGTAATCTATGCTCTGGAAGTTCAGGCCTTCACTTGAGAGGAAGAAAATAAGAGTAAGGAAAACCTAGGTTTATAATTAGAAGAAGCAGAAGCAGAATAAATATCTGGCCTCAATGTGAAGGTAAGAAGGCAGGTGTCAGGAAGTTTGCTGAGTTCGTGTATTAAGAATTTAAGAAAGATTTTTGAATGGACAGTATAAGCTATACTAAAGGAAATTATAGCACTTAAGTGAATTTAAATTTGTGCATACAAATCCTCTAATTTTGTCTGCTTAGATGCAGTTTTTCAGCCGTGTTAAACTATGATACCACTTACAATGAAATGTCAATAGCCATAATAGCTTTCCAATATCTGTACTGTTTAAAGCTGAACAAATCAAAAGCATTTCAACCCTAATAAAAATCTCCCAAAATATGCTTGTAGGATGAAGGCCAGAATGGCCTTACGCCTCCTCCCGCTTCACAGCAGTTGCGTATTGTGAACACTGTGGGTGTTCACTTCAACATGATGAGGTTCACAGAGTGGCAGAGAGAAGGGAAAGATGCTCTGCAGTAATCCAAACTTCTTGTGCTAGCAGTGTTTTTGACAGATAAGTTGGCAATAATCTGGATATTTTTGTCCCAAATAATGAATCTTGCATCTGAAACTGTGTTATAGAAAACAGTAACTCCTCTGTGGACCAGCTCTCCATCTGGTATAATTTGGCATAGCTCATCTGGCTATAATTCATTAGATGTTATAGGGTTTTTTGCATTTAGAGAATGGTATTAAAGAAAGAAAATGTAAGTGAAATATAAGAAAAAAAAACATTATAAGGTAAGAAAATTTAAAGTAAGAAGTTCTTTTAAAGCTGATCTGGATAATACTGGACACTTCTATGATGCACTGAACAGGTGAATTCTCCTTAATATTTGTTTGCTGACATCACTGGTGGTTTTGTTAGTGTTATGCCTTTTCCATCTTTGACTTTATTACTTACATACTCGTTTCAGATATACAAGTCTATACAGACAAGAAGGTACTGTAAAATTTTTACTTAATGAGCTCAAATTTGTCATGGAAGATGATTTTGAACACAGCTTACTTTAAACCACAGATAGAGGCTGCTATAAGTTTGAGTACACCCAGAGTGAAACATTTTGTTTTGGCTTATGTTCAGATCCAAAATCACAAAAGAATTATTCTGTGTTGCTGCTAACATGAGTTACTCTTGCCAGAAGAGGTATACAACCTTTTGTCTCAAGGCAGTGTCTTTAAAGAGCCCCTCAGCACATGTATTTGTCACTTTTAAATGAAGACAACTAACGTAACATTTTGATGGCATCAAATCAAAACTGCAAATTAATCAATAGACTTAAACTCATATGTACCCTGAAAAACCTCAGCCTGTGTCTACATAGTGTCAAGACCTTTCTAAATTATGATTTTTTACAGAATAATCTTTTTCTAATGTGGATTAATTTTGATATGTTATGTTTTGTACTTTTTGAAGTTCTTGTTGCACCTGAGCATCTTAATCAATGATTGTGTTATAAAGAGATGAAATTATATCTTTGTTATTACTAACTACTGTCTGGAATCTAATCTGACAAATTAATTTCTTATTATTTTTTCTCATGATAAAAAAATTGAAATATTAGAGATACATCTGGATTCAATATCTAATACTTTACCAATGAGAAGAAAATCTTCAGGTCATATGGCTGGATCAGACTAGCTGTCTAAGTACAGTATCTATTGAGAAAGGATGAAGTGTAAGGGATTATATGCGGATATAGTCATCAATTTAGTAGTTTTAGAAGAGTTAGGATTCCTGGTTTTGACCAAAATGTCACAGTTAATCAAGATTTCTAAAATAGCTAGAATAAAATCTGTCACTTAAACATTAATTTGGAATTTACCTGAGGGTGGGTTTTTTTCTTGCTAATATAGTGCAGGTACATGTGATATTTAGAATAAGATAATTTTAATAAAGTTAGCCATGCAGGACATGGAATAATTATTGTGCTTCTTGACCACTTGTATGTGATCAGCTAAAAACCTTTCATCAATTGAGCTGTTGTCTAGTGGGTTAAAATCTTCCCTGAATGACGCTTGACATTTTCTGTCAGGTATGATTTCTCAGAAGTTAGCTAACAAACTTTTTACCTCAATATAGCATCTGAAATGACAATTTTCCTTACTTTTAATGAAATGCACTAGAACTTACCTACATGCAGAATTCCGATTGATCTTACTGATGATTTTGTGATAATATGCCAGGGAGCTGAACCTCCTTCTGCACCCTTGGTGGCTGAATCTCACCTCAGGAAATGTTCTGCTCATCTCTACAAGAAAAGGGTTTTATTTGTAGAAACTGGGCAGGTGATACGTGCCTTCAAGGCAAAAGCAACCTATACATGAGAAGTTCTTTCACAGTACTGAAAAAAAGTGAGGACAAACCAGAAAATCTGTTTCTTCTGTAAAGTTGTGAACCATTGCAAATGATGCACTGAGACGTTATACACTGTTTCACCCTCCAGACACCCTTCAAACAGGCAGGGTTGCAGAAACAATTGTATGACAGCGAGTGTGATGCTAAATCTGGGCACTAAGTCTCTGGATTTTTTCTTAAATGACTAGCATTACTGCAGCTTTCATTACTACAGTTATTACCACATTCCTGTTCTTACACAGCTGAATTCAAACCTGTGCCACTGCTTTTATCTGAGCAGAAGAAAAATACTGACAACTTGTTTTGCACTATTTTTCAATTTAATAACAGTTATTTAGCTAATGCATGCACGGAGTTTTCTTACCAGTACATGCTTAACTATATTAGAGAACTTTCTGAAAATTTAACTCAAATTGTTTCTGATAAGGGAATGCATAGGGTTTATAAGCTCATATGGATATTGTATAGTAGTTTCTCTTACAGTGGAAAAAAATCAAGGTAGAGAAAGATGCATTTTCTGTGATTCTTTATATTAATTTTATGAAATACTTGTATGTAAAAATGTTGGTATGTGTTTGTAATTTATTGTGTACGCTGAAGGTGTTGAAGTTTGTCGAGCGAACATTTTTTAAGATAGAGTCATGCATCTATAACTGCGTATGTTAAATCAGTGAACATGTTCATGTAAGGAAATAGCACAAATCTCTTTTTGCTTGTGTGGTCTTCGAATTTTTGGGGAAGATACTTATGCACGTGTGCTGCCATGTTTCCACCAGCATTTCAACAAGTGAAACAATTGTAAGATAACAGCCCCAATTTATGACGGTGACACAGTAAGAAATTATTGCATTTATTCCTATATTTTCAAAGGGAAGCTTAATTTTTATTGCTTCAAGTTTTTAGAGTTGGCTTGAGACTTTACGTATGTTCCTGATTTTCACAAAGATTCGTCTCCTGAAAATCAGGGCTACTAAAGATATCTGAAGTCAGGCACCAAAAATATCATAATTAAATTTTGAAAAGGTAAGCCATCTTTCTTAAAGGAATGAAAGAAAAGATGTGGTAGAAAGATTCATTTAAAGAACAGAGAAAAAGGTTCAGTTACATATGTTTTAGAGAAAATACAATTTTAAAATTCAAATTAATTACATTTTATAAAGGATTTATTTGCTAATGCTAAATATTATCTATGTACTGATTTCCGTGAAGTTGGCAAAATAATTCCCATTTAAAATATTGATCTTGTTTGTTTTGAAATCCTTCTGTTACTTCTGTGTCTGTTTCTGGTTAAAAATCTGTTTGGTTTGTTGCAGTACATGGCGTTTGGGAGGAATGGTCACCTTGGAGTTTGTGTTCATTCACATGTGGTCGAGGCCAAAGAACTAGAACAAGGTCATGTATACCTCCTCAGTATGGGGGAAGATCATGTGATGGACCTGAAACACAACATAAACCTTGCAATATTGCACTCTGCCCTGGTGAGCTCATATAGCAACTCTCTGCTTTGTTACAGTGCGTTTCATGTGGGTTGTTTGTGATTTCTTTTATTGCGTTTTGCACATAGAAAAAAAAAGGTTATGCAAAGTGAATAAGGAGGGTAATGTTCATAATTCTGGCTTCAAGCATATAATCAGGACGGTAACCCTGTTCAAGATACTACACGAGCAGACAGTTCTTAGTTTCTTCAAGATACTCGCTCTGTAGGGCATGGTATGTTGCATAGGAAATCTTGATTCAGGATGGGTCTTGGAGAACCAAAAGGCAAGCAGCTCTCTGAGTGTGGCTTAAAGAAAGATATTCAGATGTCACACAGTTTGCATCCATCATATCTGTTTGAATTATGTTTGCTTGGAGGTTCACTGATTATTTGTTTATCACACAACAAACATGTTTGGGAAAGCATAAAATTTTAATTGTTATTAATTTATTTAAAATGGGTATTATTTACAAGTATACAGAAAGAAAGGCTGACACAAGTTAGAGCTTTATTTGAATTCCAGTTAAGCCCTTTTGGTAAGAATTTTAAGTGCATCATTTCTGAAAGTTTATTACTAAATCACTTTCAAATAACTACCTCTAACCAAGTAAACAAATTGTGGGCTTCATGTTAAACCTTCCATCCACTGAAACTGAAACTGACTCAAAAAATCATCTTTTCTTTCAAAAACAATTTTAAAATATTTGTTTATAGGTTATGATTAATTTTGACCCAAATTTTCAATATGTGTGTACGTATGTGTATGTATGTATATGTGTATACACATATAAATATATATATGTATGTATATAATACCAAAGTATTACAATGAGTTCAATAACCATAAAGAAGATTACATATATAATTATTGATCTCATTGTAATACTTAGGTATTAAAAAGGTGGCAGGTAGCTGTAATGTGAGAAATTTCGTTCATGAGTTCTATCTGTCAGTGTGAAGGTTGCCCTTGCAGTGGGCTTGTTGAATATCTGCAGTTCATAACACTGCTGCAAATCGATTTGGCATGACTGGAGCTCTTCCTGAAAAAGGTTTACGGTCATTTCATTAGCAAAGTTTTGTTTTAACATTTGAAAACAGACATGAAGGAAAAAATGGAATTTAGTGCCTCACAGAATTAAAACTAACTTTCTTAGATTTTTATTAAACCCGAACTTTGTTTTTCTTCTGGTCAGCAAAACATACTCCAACTATGCGACAAAATTTGTGGGAAAGTTTTAGTCTTAAATCAGATGCAAGAATTTTGAAATAATCCAGGTTTTGGCCAAGTTGGCAGCTGTGCATTTTACAAGTGCCTACACAAAAGTGATTAACATGATGTATGTGCATGAAGCAGAGTTGACAAGAGAAATGCCAAATAAAAATAGCAGTGAAGAAATTAATGCATTCAGTTCGCTTCAGTATTGCAAAGAAACACAAAGGTATTACACCTAATCTGTCAAAATAAACAGTAATTAAGAACTCTGTATTTTGAACAGTCATTTATACCTAAATGACTTTCACCCGAGGAAGTTATTTGCTGGTTACTTTTAAAAGTAACAGTTTAAATCTTTGCTGAATGTTCAGATTTACTGTAATTTGAATGTTCAGTTTTATAGGGGAAATCTTCATATTGAATTCTTTAGCCTTTTAATGGTGTTTCTGAAATAGAGAACTCACATGCTCTTTGCTCCTACAGATAAAGATGGGACATGTATCAAATGTATATGAGAAGCTACAGAATGAGTTTTCTCCGAAGACACTATAATAATTGATTCGATCTTCCCTACCCTAAATAATACTATATAGCAATGAATAAAACTGATTAAAGTGAATTGAAATGTGATTTCCATAATGTTTTCCTCTTTACATAAAGCTTTTATGATTAATGAGTGCAACTAGCTCTCATGTTTGGAAAGATTTCCTTTTTCTGCTGAATAAATTATCAAGGTGCAGCTTCATAGCTTCAGAGGCATCTGCACTGAGAAGTGGTTCATAACCAGGCACTACATAGAATATTTAATATAAAATAGGAAAAAGACTCAAAAACTCTCTTCCTTTAATTCACTGGTTTCTGAGATCATGGACATTAGAGATACGGAGAGTGTCTTTGAACTGTTAGAAATGTTCTGTGATTGCTGTCAGACAACAGTAAAATAGTTCACCGCCATATTTCACTGAAGAGTGGTGCTCTCACACAGACGCAGTATGTTAAATCACTAACTTACAGACTCTGCTTCCTGTTTTAATTATTAACACCGTCAACTTAGGAAGCTGCTATTCCAGCCCTCCTTTAGAAGAATCCTGAAATCAGGGGTTGGCAAGTGCACCAAGTGAAGTTATTTGTTTTCAGTGGTGGTGCTTTTATGGCAACAGTAGTTATAAAACCAGGTTTTCAAGGACGAGCATTAATTAAAATTGTATTACAACCTGCATTATGAATTTATGTTGGGTAACTGCAGGTGCGATGAGGAACTGATGATTGCCAAAGTCTACATGAAGGCAGGATTCTGAATTGGCACAATCAGTAATAACACATTTCATAATGCTTACCCCTTTTCAAAAATACTGTCTGATCTTATTATCTGTTATAGACCATATAATTTTTTACTTGTGTGGGAACTTAACTGATTTATATTTTTAATTATATGCGGTTTTAATATTTTCATTTACATCAAGAAGCTTTCTGATGTGCAAAATTAAAAATAACAGTCCTAAACATTTACTAATGGGAATATTCATCCAAACTCAAATGCATGGGCTAATACAAAACACTAAATACAGAACTGGTCGCCATATCTGTATTTTTAAAAAATTCAACTTGACAGATTCAGAAAGAAGATTATGCAATATGCAAACACAGAGGCAGACCTGAGGAGGAAGACAGGCTGTTTCTGTCCTCCTACATTTTATCTCAGAAGAGTGTTGAAGAACTGAGATCGTTTACTTTACAGGGAAGATGAATGATAAAAGTATATTCAGCGTTATAAGTACAGAGAATAGAGACTGTATGTGAGGCAAAGTGGTAACTCCTGTTTTCCTTTTCCTGTTCAACTAAGAAGACCTAATATCACAGTCAGGACCAATAATTTTATAAGCTGACCCATCTGAGTGATCGCCACAGCTGTAATCAATCACTTTGAAGGGCTCAGGGTTTACATGATACAAGATTAGCCCCCACTTCTGTCTAAACAGACAAGACCAGTCTTTTCAATAAGGCCCTGTTTCTAATAAGGCCTATCAAACCTTCTGGTATGCGAGGAAAATCGTAGTTTATCCTGCGTTATATCAGTGTATAATTAGAGGGCATGAAACATTCTTGACTTAAAGAAAAATGAAAACAGCTTGAAACGATTTTGAAGTAGCTCAGAATGACGATACCTATGCTTGATTGCTGTCAGAAGTCAAGCGTCTTCAGGCTAGACTCAGTCCAAGGGGTTGCGTTCAGGCCTAAGCTGAAACCCCCTAACGCAGAAAGAAGCCAGGCTTGGGTGGTAACTCTGCTGTGTCCCTCTCTTTTGTGCCTGCCGCGGCAGTCGACGGACAGTGGCAGGA